ATTTTTGAAGAGCAGAGTTAAATTATTGTTCTTTGTAAGCCTGAGGTCTGGAGCCACATGGATAGTTCATGCTAACTATATGATTTTTGCTGATCAACTGTCTTTGAATGTTTAAGGCTTTGGCCACATATCAGTGTGACCTCTGGAATGTGTGGTCTCCAGAGCTGAGGCCAACCTTGCTGGCACTGAGCACAGACATGACTAACCTCTAAGACCAAGGCTCAGTGAGCTTCCCAAGAGCTTTTCCAGTTATGCACTTCTCTGTCAACTTGTGTTGTCACATACTGTTGCTGGGAGAATTAAGCACTGTCTTGCAACATACTGCAGAAGACAACTGGAAATTTGTGCTGTTTTCCCCTAGATTCTGTCTTATGTGCTTATTTTCTTTGCTGATTATAATATAGATCCTTTCCCTGCAGCAAACTGTAACTATGAGCATAATCACTTTTCTATGTCCCGTGAGTCCCTACCAGAGAATCACTGAATTAATGGATGATTGTGGGAATCCCCAATGCAATCATAAACATTATTCATTGCCTTACGTCAATAGACAACATTTTCTTTTAAAAAAACAAACGTTTTGAGACTCTTCTATACACTCATTTTTTAATGGAAAATTGATCATAGTATATACCTTGTTTAAAGACCTTTTCTCTGTACATATACAATAGACACATTGCCTTATGATCTTAATGTTTATATATACATCATTCTGTATAAATTATGGGATGTATTTCTAATATCTAATTATAGCATATTTATTTATGTAACCATCTAATAAAATATTTGTGTTTTACTGTGTCCCCTAACAGTGTTTATATAAACAATGCTGCAATAAACATCTCTGTAGATAACCTCTTTATATGTTTTCTTATTATTTGTGATACAAGCACCTATAATGAAGACTTAGGAATTGTAGTGACATTCACTTTAAGTGATTAATGAGATGTATTAAAGCAGATAAAGTTACTGTATGCAGAATATACTTGACTATTAAAGTGACTCAGAATTAGGCTGAAGTTTGAAGAAATCCTTTTTTTTATTACAAAAGTTTATTTTTACATCATTTTGTACATTTTTTTTCCCATCTCAATTGTAATCCCCATGGGTTTCCCATCACCAAGTTGAAGAAATCCTTTTTTAATAAACTAGTGGAGGGCCCTCTCTGGTGGCACAACGGGTTAAAACACAGTACTATGAAGCTATCACAGCTACCACATCACAAGTTCGATCCCCGGCCAGGGAAGTAACACACATGATGTGGCAGACCTCTCCTGTCCCACCTGCTGTTCCCCTCTGCAGTGCATTTCTATACATCTGCTTGTTCTCCCCACTCTGTCTCTGGTGAATCCTTTCATCCCCCACACCTCTGGTCTGTACCCCAGTTCTCTATGCACAAATAAATAAATCTTAAAAAATAAATAAATAAATAAATAGAGCATAACAAATGGCAAATGTGACCACTGAGGGAAGATGGACAAAGGACACACAGGATTCTCTGTACTATGAATCTATAGCTATTTCAAAAGCAAGAGATTTGAAAAAGTAGTGACTATTTAAAGCAAAAGCAGTAACAATATATGGAGGCATTTAAAACAATATAGATATAAAATATGTATTTTAAATAGCACAAAGTAAGAAAAGGAATTAACTACAAGTATAAGATTCCTATGTTGTTTGTATAGTAGTGCAATATTAATTCAAGGTTGATTGTGATAACTTAAGGATACCCCTGGAGCAACCACTAAATTAACTCTCTACCAAGCAGTATTAAAAAAAAAAAAGCAAAGAGATAAAATGGAATGCTAAAAAGTACTTGATTAATCTGAAAAAAAGCATGAAACAAGGAACAAAGAAGAGATAGGACAAAAAGAAAGCCAGAACAAAATTATTTAACCCAAATTTATCAGTAATATGTAACCATAAATGAGCCAGACACCCCAAGAAAAGATATAAATTGTTATTTCAGTTTCTTAAAAAGATCCAGCTATGTTATTTATAAGTGCACATATTTCTTATAAATTAGGACAAAGGTTGAGAGATATGCAAACTAATCATAATAAAACTGGTGTGACTAAGTTAATAACAGAGGAAGTAGACTTCAAGGTGAGAATGAACAGTAAAAAAGAAACAATTCATAATGATAAAATGAAAATTCAACAGGAAAAGATAATTTTAAATATCAGCACCTCATAACACACCTTCAAATTCAAGTACATGACACAAAAATTGATAGAACCAAACAAGTCTTTCATCTTAATATAGATAGTTTAACATTTCTCTCGGTAAATTCTGGATAAGCAAACAGAAGTATTAGTAAAGGCACAGAAAATCTGAGCAACACTATCTACTAAGTTCTCCTAATTGACATTTGTGGAAAACGCACTCAACAAAAGTAGAATATACATTTGTTTCAAGTGCACATGGAATATTCACCAATATAGACTATATATCAGGCTGCCAAACAAATCAACATATTTCAATAATTGCGGTCATAGTCTCTGCCACAATGGAATTACAGAAATCATGTTACAAACATCAGTCTTTTGTGTTAGCGAAGTCTCCCTGCCTCAAATAACCTAGATGAGATTGTCTCACATCCTCATTTTCTACTCTGTCAAAATATTATCCTCATCTATGTCAGTCAGGGTTCTCCAAAAAGCCAACAGGATGTATATCTTGCTACCTATATGTTTACATCAGAGATACAGAGAGGGAGAGAGGTTTATTTTAAGGAATGGATCTCAGAACAGTGGATCAATATAAAATATGCAGGGTGGGCCTGCAAACTGAAATCCAGGGGAGGGCTGCAGTTCCAAAGGCCTGCTGACTGGATTCCTTCTTGCTCAGGGGAAAACAGTCCTTGTTCTGTTAAGGCATTCAAGTAAAAGCCCAGGTCCACTCACACTGTGGAGGCTAAGCTGCTTTACTCAAAGTAAACGCATTTACATGTTAATCTCATCAAAAAAAAAAAAAAAAGTTTTCACAGAAAAGTTCTAAATAATGTTTGACCAAACATCTGGATACTGCAGCCCAGTCAAATTGGCACATAAAATTAACCATCACAGCTGCCACCATGACTTTCAAATTTAAGGATGAACATTCATCTGCTACTAATACCCCTAAATTAGTTTATGAATCATCAGGCTACCTCACGTGCTATTGTGAAGCTCAGCACCTTCCACCAAATTTCACCCCACCAAGGAACCAACAGAATCCCATTCACACCGTCCTTGTGGGTGTAAGACTTTCAGCGAATGTTAGGAGACAGGCTGGGCTCCTCAACACCACAAACTGCAAACTACAAAATAAAACACCGTTTGGAGCCGCTCTCAACTCTTCCCCTTCCTTTTCATTGCTAAGGAAAAGCATTCTAGATGCTTCCATTGATCCCTTGAGCCTCCCAAATCACACCCCCAGGATCTCCCTTTCCAGCCAGAGGGTATTTTCCTAAACAAAGACAACTGCCTGAGAATTCCTGGGCCTGAAGGTCGGTCCCTCCATCATCTCAGTCCTCTCTACAACCAGGTGGTGTTAGTTTCATCTTACTCTACTCCCCTCCAAATCATTCAAAAGAAGGAAAGATACGGAACCTGGCCCTCCCTGGTGGTGCAGCGGGTTAAAGCACAGCACTGAGAAGCTAAAGCCACTTCCGCATGAGTTCGATTCCCACGTGCCCCGGAGGTGACCACATGGCGTGGCAGACCTCTCCTGACCCGCCCACTGCTCCCCTCAGCAGTGTACTTCATCAATCTGCCTGTTCTGCTCCCCATTCTGTCTCTGGTGAAGCCTCTCACTGCCCCTGAGCCTCTGGCCTGTACCCCAGTTCTGTATGCACATATAAATCTTTAAAAAAAAAAAAAAAAGATAAGGAACCTATTACATTTTAAAACTAGTACATTTTTTAAAGAGGAGGCCCAAGGAACATCCTGGTGAAAAGGGAGGGAATAAAGTGATGCTTTCTAGTTACAACAAGGGTCAGGTGTGGAAAGTTCACACCCACACAACCTCGTGCCCAGTGGCTGAGGGGAGGGGGACCTGGCCGAACAATGCCTGATGAGCAGGAGAGTGCGTGCAGGAGAACCAGCAGTGAAAGCAGCCTTTACCCACAGGACCCTGTGTTTAGCCGGGTGGGGAACTTGCCTCTGATGCCCTCCCAGTTTTAGGGTCCTCCGTTGGAGCAGTCTTCCCTATTGAAATTCACCATCTCATTCCATTTCCCTCGGGAGTGCCTGTCTTATTGGAAGATATTGTAATCCATGAAACCCAGCTGGTGCGCAGTGGTTTAATCTACCACCCCGCAGAAAATACACACATTTTAATAGGCAACTCCCAGAAAGGCAAGCTCGTCCTTAGGGGAACGCCTGGTCTACTGGTGGGTTTTTCCACCGATGATTGAAATGTTTGGGGGACAACTGCCTTCCAAGCAACCCACACAGGTGGCCACCAAGAGGGCTGACCGGCCGCTGCCAGGGGCCCAGCAGGACACTCACCTTTCCCCAGCGCTGGGCCTGGGGTTCCTCGCATTTCTGCTGTGTCCGGTCCCAGCGTCCACGGAGCAGGCTCTGCTGCAGGCCTGCGCCCCTCCGGCTGCAACACAAGACACGAGGGTCCGAGCAGCGCCCGGGTCCCGTGTTGTAGCCCGAGGTTTCACACGGAGTCAGGTGAGCCTGGCCTGCGGCAGCTGCCCAGCTGGGGCCTGCGCATTCAACTTGCTGAGCGCTGGAAGGCGCACGCTAAAAGAGAGGCCGACTCTGGACCGCCCTGGGCACTGCCGAAGACTTTCTGCAAGGGGCACTTGGAAATTCCAGCAGGAGCCCGCGGCGGCAGCGTGGGTGCCCCGCTCGGGGAAAGAGCAGGCAGCCAGGTGGAAAGGCCCACGAGCGGAGGTGCACGCGAATGACTGCACGCGCTTTTCCTGAGAAAAACGAATTGCGGCTGTTACAAACCACTAATTACAGTTTATTACAATCATACTTCCTAGGAAATGGGTTCTTACTCTTTATACTATGATGAGCATTTTATAAATACCAGAGTCGTATAATGAATTGTGCCGAATTTTAATACATAGTTTGGCTTGGGAAGTAAGGCAGTAAACACAGTATTTCTGCTACCCATTTCCAATGGCCCTATGGAGGATTTATTGCTTATTTATGACTTCTTTTTATTCAGAAACTCCTACATATCAATTTTACGTAGATTCTTGTTGGTGAGTCATTTCTGTTTTGTTTCTTTCTTACCAAATGAGGTTGGTCCGGAATCAAAAAATACCCCCACTTCAATTTCTCCAAAGGAAACCATTGACACTTTTCCTCCAGACTCTCTATCGACTAAATTCTTGGTAGAAGGCAAGGCTTCAGGACTGAGGAAGAATAACCTGTAGCTATGCTCTCCCTGTTTCTGTCTCCATTAAAGCAGACCCATTAGTCTGGTTCAGTCTTTCAAAAAGGCAGCACACTTTGAGTACAGATTAGTCATTAAACCAAATATCACTTCGTTTTCCACCATTGAGAGAAGAATTCCTTAGACACAAAATAGGCAATGGAGCAATAACAGTGTGTCTACATTTGTACAGGAACTTAGAAATGAACCTTGTAGAAGGAAACAGAAAATAATTCTCCAATGATCTAAGAGGTTTACAAGGGCTCTATCCAGATGACCTAAATACTCACCATTTATCTGAGTGTGTGCAATGCCTCAGAGGCCCTCACTCCCCAATAAGTTATTTCCCACCCCCCCCAAAATCCTTTCAAACATAATTAGGTCCTCGGGAAGTGGCAGAGGACACAATCGTTCACGCGTTGCTGGCTGTCATTCCATGTCCCTACCCTGCCTCTTCCTCTCCAGCAGAACCTGATGGATTCCTGAAGACCATGTCTCAGTGTTCCTTGCAACAGGAGGCCTGCAAGATCTAATCATGGAGTTACGTGTCTGTTGTCATGAAGACTAATAATAGTACGTGTGTGCTGTTTGTCCGCTGGCCTTCACCTTATTGATGCTTGAATGATGACGGGCTGCCTGGAAGCCATCTGCAGAGAGGAGGAAGAAAAAGCCTGTGTCTTCAGTGGGCCACACAGCAGGTGATAGCCTGCCCCGGGGCTTCTTCTAATGGCCACACATTCACTCAAAGAATATTACCACAGCGCTCCTGTAACCTGCAGCCTTTTAAACACGGAGAATATAGCAGGGGCAAAGCAAAGACCTCTTCTTTTAAAGGTCACATTCTGGGGAAGACAGGTAATATATAAAAAAAAAAGCAAACACATGACAAAAGTAGAGAAATGGTGGGGAGGAAAATAATGCCGGTGTCGGGGACTAGGGAATGCAGGGGCGAAGATGGAGAGCAGAAAACACCACAAGAAGGTGACCTGAGGAGAGCTGAAGGAAGATGGGGCATAAACCACATGACACCTGCCACTAGGAGGGAAGCAGAGAAGGAACAGATTGCATCAATATTGTAGGCTTGAGGAAAAGTCATGGAAGTTTCCTAACCTGAGTCCTTATATTTTAAGTAGAATTGCATTCCTTACAGAACAGAGGACTAACTTCTGTGGCTTATGCATGCAAGGGGTCTTTCCTTACATGTGTCCACTGGGGAAGCCTCACTCTTCTCTCTGCTCACCTCCCTCACCTTCTTCAGGGACCTCCCAGCAACACTCACCTTTCCCCCAAGAAGCTACTGATGAAGGGAGTTACCAGCCCTCTAACCTCTGTGTGAGCTTTCCAGGGTCTCTGGGTTGTTCTGTCTTGTCATCTCTGGGCATTATTCACTGTTTAAGACTTTGCTGTATTCTTGGGACTTGGGACATGACCTAAGAGGGCTGCTGCACAGTCACCAGGCAGTGGCCAGCTAATGACTATTGGTAGAAGTGCTCTACTCCCCAGGACCTTCAGTATCAAAAATCCAGACACCTGATGTCATCGATGTCTCCAGACAGCTGCCTATTCTGACAGTTTGCAGAAGAAAATGAAATTCTGCACATGATTATCTTGACTATGAGCCAGCAAGTTTGCCTTACCGAGTTGTTTAAGAAAGTGGAGTTTTCCCTGCTATCATCAGCAACTTCCGACTGAACACATGTGGCATCCATGGTGTATTTTGAGAAATTAAGTGCAGACGCAAGTTAGGACTCTAAGAAAGCCCCACAGTGATGGCCAGCCCCGGGAGACTCAGCCTCCGACTTGTGCTGGAACCTGTGTCTTTGTGCTGGTCAAACAGTGCAGGGGGTGAGGCCACGGTGAGTGAACCCCAGGAACAGACCCCAAGTGGCTGTATGCATGCCCTGCCAGTCTGAACCATGTTGGGAGAGCTGCTGATTCCCAGTGACTACAGGAACCAGTAACTGAAGTGGGGGCTGGGCAGGGTAGAGGCTGGACCATCAGGGCTCTCCCACACCTGCCCTCTTGAACGTCCTCCAGATGCTGCCGGATGAGCCTGTTGCCCCCAACAGAAGCTTGGGCCACTTGGGGACTCAGCCTGAGCAGAGGAGTAGGGCAGTCACGGGGTCACTCTGCCCCTGAGCAGTAGAAACAGAAACCACAGTCCCAGCCAGGCTGGAAGCTAAGCTCAAGACAGAAGGAGCCAGGGAGGCCTTAACGGTGGCGGCTGGGCATGTTGCGGGAAGATGTGGGGGACAACCTGTCCCCTCCTTGCTGTCTGAGCCTTCTACCCCAAGCCTCACTCATCATGGCCCAAGAGGGAACCCCTGTCTTCTATGCCTATCCTGAGATGGTTTGTTTGTGCCAGCGAGAGGTCAGAGAGATCAGAGAATCAGAAAAAAAGAACTTAGAGCAAAATTTAAAGCTTATGCCCCCACCTGTGAGATGGGGAACAAGGAACTCCATGGGGGTGGAGAGCAAGAAGATGAGGACAAACAAGAAAAGATGCTTCTGTTGTGAAGTCCAAGAGCAAAGGCAGCAGGCAGAGATCTTTCGAGGCAGGGGGCTAGGGGCCTTTTCAAGAACAGTGAGGTGTGGAATAGGGTAGGGTTTGGGGAAACAGAAGGACAATTTACTTATTAAAAGGCCAGTAGCCTTTGTGAAATGCAACTGGATTTCAGGGGAGAAACAGGCCCACTGCAGTGTCTCGGCAGCTGAGCAGGACAGGTCTGGTCAAGCATGACAGACCGTGGCCTGCAGTCAGAGGATAGCCGGCAGAACCTTGCCTAGGCTATGCAACTGGGGAGCAGGCCCACGGTTGTCCCCTGATCGGGAGAGCTCATGACAACCTACTGGGGAATGTGAGCTGCAAAAGGTGCATCAGAGACCAGAGCCCCTGAAGGTGCCCGGCAGCTGAGTGTCAGCAAAGAACTGGCTTCCCTGGGAGTTAGGGTGCCAGATCCCTCACCATCTCTGAAGATGGCTCCCTGTTTCCAGAGCCAGACCCACAGACTGTCCTAGCATGGAGGAGGGAGCAGTAAGGAGGAACACAGGTTCTGACTTCCAGAAAGAACCAGAGCCCCAAGAGGCAGGTGGCAAGCACAAGGCTTGCAGAAGGCAGACAGAGCCAAAGACTCTCCTCATTCACTGACAACCTCAGACACCTCCTGAAGCCTGGCAAAGGAGCCGGAGACTGTAGAGCCACTTGAAAAATGACCAAGTAGGACATGTTACAAATGGCCACCGCCACAAATGCAGGAAGGTGGGCTGCGGTGGGGCACTGGATGTCACAGACCCATGTGCTTTCCATTTGCCTTAGGCTCTATTTGCACTCTATTGTCCTCTATTTATTTTTATGCCCCACCAAAAAAAAAAAACTGTACATTAAATAGTCACCTTTCATCCACTTGTAATGCTTTCCCTCTGGGGCAGCATAAATTCCCTTTATATCATTATCATACTAGAGGCCCTAATATGTCTCCTGTCCTTGTCTTCAGAACCCAAGACTCAACTACTTTTCAAAGCAAGACGGAAGACCCCATGGAGAAGTGAAGGGTGGGGGTTACTATTTTCTGGCTTGGTAGAGTCTCTACACCCATTTTGGAAAGAAAGTTGATGAGAAAAAGGAAGCCTATGTCCTTAGTTTCTAGCATATTGTTTAGCCAAAGAAATACAGCAATGGAGAAGGGGTTCTGATCACTAAATCAGAAAAAAAAGGCTTGAATTCTACATTGTGATGTCCTTCCCTCTGTGACTTCAGCCAAGATCTTCACTTATATTTTCTAAGCCTCTAATATCCCCTACAAAATGGGGATATTAAAACCTGTCCTGGCCTCTCTCCGGGGTTATTTTCACAGGTACAGCAGCAAAGGGTCTTCTCTGTTACCCCAGAAATGGAGCCCAGACAATAAAGTGTTATATTGATACAAGATATTAAGATCCTTAGTGCCTAAGGATGTTATCACCTTTCTTGAACCGCCAGCGTGTCCAGTCTTCTACTAAGCCCTGAACTAAGGTGATGAACCCCCAACCTGTTCAGGCTAGGATAATCGGATTCCCTTACCTGCAGCCAAATGCACTTTTGTTCCCAGGAGACAGTTGAGAGGTTAAGCCTGTGGGCTGAGCCAGGACCTAAGCTTTGGAGCTGGGATATTCTGGGTTCAAATCCAAATTATGAGCTCAGTAACCTGGTGAACATGACACAGTTCTCCAGGTTACTTAGCTCCTGTAAAACAAATTTCTCCAGCTGTGCCATGGAGTGATTAGTGTCAGATTTTCAGGACCATCTTATACCTAGAGAACTCGGCCCATAGGACCTGGAATAGATGGGGTACCCCAGTGGGAGTAGCTTCTTAGCATCCGTGTGCACCAGTAATGCTACTTCCTTCATGGTGATACCTTTAGAAGTGACATGGTTTACTTCCTGGCTCCCCACAGAGGCACTCCCCTCATACCCCCATGTTCTCCTCACTAGTGACCTGCTGGACCCCATCAGTAGGGTCTTTCCTCTGGAAGGACCACCATGCCAGGGACACTGACCAATAGTGTGCCACACTCTGCTGACAGCAGGATCTCGGGGAGATCACCAGGTCTGGCTGTCACGGAGGTGGCCTGGCTCCTTGCACACAGTAGGACTCAGCACACCGGGAACAAATGAACAAATGAAAAAGGGAACGGCTGACGAGCTGGCCCTCTCGCAGGAATTTCTGCCTTTGCTGTGGCAAGTGGCAGCAGGTGGGAAGGGTCTATCCCTCCTCCAGGGGTAGGACACTCCACCAGGTACAGGTTATCTCCAGGTACAGGTTATCTCCTCTGGGGACTCTGGGATCAGTCCAAGGTTCACCTTTGACAACCTGCAGATAAGACAGATTTAGTAGATTAGCTCCAAGCACTGAAGCCAGGGAAGGCCCCAGTGTCCTAGAGGCAGGGCCTCTCCTGTGTAAGCCCTACAGCCTTGTGAATGCTTTGCAAAGGGCCAGGTGAGTGTCATTTGCTGGCTCCAAACTGCTCCCTCCCACTTGCCTTAGGCTCTATCTGCACTCTATTGTCCTCTTTATTTTTACACAGTGACAGTGAGGCTTACCCCCTGCAGACTTTACCTTGTCAGTCCCCCTGAAACTATTCAAAAATGCCTGGAGAGGGCCATCTCCAGGTCTTACCCTCCCCCTTTTCCCCTGCAATGGTCTCCAGCGTGAAGGCCCTTCTAATCCCTTTTAATTGTCCCCCTCAAGCCACCTGTTAGTTACTCCTGGTCCGAGGAAGGAAGCTTAACTCCTTAGCTTGGTGTTTAAGATGACTTAAAGTCTGATCTCTGCCCTTGTGCAGTTAATTCCCTGTCAGTATTTCAGCGTTCAGAGGAACTCTGGGCTTCCTAGCCTGGTGCCCCACAGTGTGGCCTATACTGTCCTCTCTGCGGGGTGTGCTTCCCCATTGCCACCATCACTCTGCTGCCAACCCTTCCAGGGCAGCCCAGGGGTCCCTCTCCATTAGACAGGCCCCTTCTTACCTACTCACGTGCTAAGACCGAACTCCATTTTTGACACTTCTCAATATTGTAGGTCTTTTAAACAAGTCTGTTTTAAACTCCTGGGTTGTACACTATTAGATCAGAAACTAAATCATGTATGACTTTGTGTGCCCTGTGGTCCCAAATAAAATATCTTGAATATAGAAGGTAAGCCATAAATATTTGTTGTATAAATTAATATTTAATTACTTCATAAAAGTTCCCCTACTTATCACGGAACTGGCCTTTTTTTCTCCCAGTCACAATACAACAATTCAATATCTCACAAGCTTTGCTGATATCATTTTCTCGAGTACACTTATTAATAATTTGTCTTAAAATGCTCATTTAAGTGCTGAATGTGAAGATAAGAGGTCTGCTTTTCTGTTGATGCTCACACTCAGCCATAATTATCTGTCATAAGAGGCGGGAAGAGGTGTGAAGATGAAAGCTAGGAAGGTCGGAAGTGCCGCCTCAAAATCCTGAAACGGGGAGCAATTAGCAGCCTTGAGTGGTGGGGGGAGGGAAAAATTAACCATATGTGAGGTCATTTGTTCTGAATGTCATAGAATTTAGATTCTCTCTCTCTCTCACCCACAACCTTCTTCCTGCTGGGAAGGAGTACCTATAAATGCACAGGTCTGGAGATAATTGAGGTTTGTTCATTCAAGGGTCAGAACTCAAAAACACATAATGGTTCAGATGACATGGCCCACTCTTCCTAAACCTGAAATTCTCAACATAATTCAATCTATCATTTACTGCTCAAGTTCATGATCATGAAGAGTATTTATCACACAGCAGTCACCGTCCTGGATGTTCTCAGAAGCTCTATGCGTTTTCCTCTCAATTGCTAAAATATTTTATTTCTGTATCTGCTTTTCATAAACTTCCCATCACCAGTACTGTTAGGCTCTCTGCTGGCATTCCAGGAGGGGACAGTGCAGCAGCGGCCCCCTGTGCTGTTTGCAGAAGCCAGGAATCTAGCCAACCAAGCTGCTCAGGGCTGTGTCTGAGCAAGATGGATGTTACTAGGTTGAGAAAGAGTGGTTCTTGTTACACTTATTCTAGAAGGGCTGAAACCTCTTCCTACTACCTCCCTGGTTCCCTATACAGTTCTAGTTGTAAGTAAAGAAATCCCAGTTCCAAATGAAGGTGGTAGACATGCTTTGTAGCAGGAACATAATCGCCACTTTGTGATCAGTAATTTAGCTTCAGCACAACGGCATCATTCAACACATTAAATTAATGTCACTAATTTGAATTTTATTGGTTCTGTAGTTTTTATTTTATTCAGCAATTTGTTTTGACTTTATAGCTGTATATGAGCTTACACATATTTAAGCAGCATAATGATAATAAAGGCAGCACTGGGGACCCATGAGAATTTTTCTGTCTTGCTTGCAAAATCTCCCTTGGTTTGTACAGGTGCCTGACATTTGGCCTGCTTCCTGGGGAGGCTTGTCCTTGACTCTATTATTGCTTAGTGATTGTAACTGTTTGGCACAAAGTGGCAGTAAACATTCCAGCCAAAGAAAGCAAGATGGCCCACAGGGGAAGTAGGTTATAAAGGGGTCACTCAAATCATCCAGAATATACCCCTACTTGTGTTTTTATTATCATCCAAGAATCTAAGTAACTCATTTCAAAAATAAAATTTATTTGGATATCATTGTAGCTTCACATGCTACAGAACTACAGAAAGATCCTATGTATCCTTCACCCAGTTCCCTCAATGGTAAAATGTTGTGAAAGTATAGTGAGATCACGGCCAGGAAACGGGAGAGACAGTGACAATGCACCAATCTTGACCAGATTTCACCAGTTTAATATGCACTTATTTGTGTTTATTTTGTATATTGAGTTGTATGATTTTATCGTGTGTAGTTTCCACCACCACAGTTAGATATAGGTCTATCACAAGAACGCCTCAAGCCACCCTTTAACTACACACCTCCCTCTCACCTGCGTCCTTCCCAGATATATCCCTAGAAACTAGTAATCTGTTCTCCATCTCTAGTTCCATCATTTCAAGAACCTTTCTCCTATGTTGTGATTTTTTTTTCAGATTTATTAACTTGTCCATCACTTGCATAACTATATAATTTTGGAGGTACATCTGCACATCTCCATATGTGTACTTGTTTCATTCACCTTCCACCAAAGCTCATGAACCAATGTCCTATGCCCTCCCACCCCCTGGCTCTTCCTTCCTGCCCTCTGTCCCCTCTAATAACCAGTATATTGTTCAAAGATGAAGAATTATTTTTCCTGTGTTTTGCCTATATTTTTAAATTTTATATTCCATAAATAAATAAAACCACACAGTATCTTTCACTTTTTGGCTTACTTCGCTTATCATAGGCACCTCAAGATTCATCCATTTTGTCCCAAAAAAATGCTCTTGGATCTTTTTCTAACAGCTGAGTAGTATTCCATTGAGTATATATACCATAATTTCTATCTCGAGTCATCTGCCAGTGGGCATTTAGGTTAGTTCCAAGAAACACTTCGCTATCATGAATAATGCGGCCATAAATCTTTTTGTAATAGTGTTTTCTTATTCTTTGGGTAAGTAGCTAGTAATGGTACTTTTGAATTGCATGGTATTTCCTTTTTTTAAGGAAACTCCATGCCATTTTCCATAGACTGCACCAAATGACACAAGAAGTTATATAAATGGAATCATACAGTAAGCAGACTTTTAGGACTGGTTTGTACTCAGCATAATTCTCTTAAGATTCCTATTAGATGCAATGTGTTATCAGTAGTTTGTCCTTTTCATTGGTATCCATGACCTAGATATACTGATTTGTTTAACCATTCACCCACTGGACTCCTGGATTGTTTCAAGTTTGGGTTAACACAAATCAAGCTGTTATACACATTTCTGTGAGGCCTCTTATGTGAACATAAACTTTCACTGCCCTAGGGTAAAAGTCTAAGAAAATGAGGGATGTGGTGTATGGTAATTCTCTTTACTTTTATAAGAAACTGCCAACTTTTCCAGAGGACCTATACCATTGTATCCAACAGAATTTATTTAAAATTTCTCATCAGACTCAGTTTGCAAAACACAAACTTGATACTGACACAGAGAACTAAAATGATAGCAGATGTCCCTGAAGATAGCAAAAGGAAAATGGACAGTTCTAAAAGGGGGGGAAATTTATTCTTAATGAAGAGAGACTGGAAAAATTTAAGTTTCAAGTAGTTTTCTGCCTCCCAAATGGTAGCCTTGAGTTTGAGGCAGTGTCCTTGCTATAGAATAAATATTCTAAATGGCTTGTGGGCCACGCACATGCAAAACAGCCCCACCTCCTCAGGTGTGAGGGTGTGTACAACAAGGTGCCTTTCAGCTAACCTGCAGCTAACCTGCTCCAGCTGCAGGGCCCCTCTCTTGCCCAGGTCATTTTCTAGACCTTAGAAAGACAGTCATGTTTCTGTAAAACTTCTGAAAGAAAGATATTTTGACAACCATTGAGGAAAACTACTGCTTACATCTACTTCAAACTCCTACTGTCACTCTCTTTGGGCCAGGTGATGGAATGGCCATGGGCATTTGGGGTATCCAACGAGGGAAATGAGATTGAAGATTTAGTTTGGGTTTAGTGGGATCAAATTACATGGTTCAGAGTCACTTTTATGTGCACTCAAGTTATTGCCAGCTGCCCAGGTACAAAATTGTCCCCCAGAAAGAGGCTCTAGGTCCGGCCATGAAAGTTTAGAGCCCAGGGCCATATTGTAACTTGCACATCTGGCCACAGAAGCATGTAGATAGGAAAAGAAACAATACTTAAAGGATACAAAGCCAATAGCTGGTCTGAGGGAAATTCCTTGAATTGTACACAGATGTGTACAATTGTGAGCAACGGATTGCATTCTCATTGAGCTGATTCAGAGCTAAAAGTCTCTCTTGGCAGAAACAGTCTCCACAATGAAGGTTATACAATTATAAACGTACTGTTTTCTCTTTCTTTGATAGAACTTTATCAAAATCTCTAAACAGTCCTGGGATAGAATGCACAGCTTGGTGACTGTAGTCAACAATTATGTATTTGACAAGTAATCAAGAGAACAATTTAAAAGTTCTCATGTAAAAAAAGAAGTTGTCAGATAGGTAGTTGATAATGTTAAGTGAATTAAACTTACTGTGAGCATTTCACAATATATACACATACCCATCACTATGCTGTACACCAGAAATCAACAGAATGTTTCTCTTAATTTTTAAAAACAAAACAAAATTCTCTCTGCAGGTTGAGACACACACATAAGTAATATTAATCTCTGTGTTTGTGGGACATAAGCTGGTGAAATACTCCCAGCAGAGAGGACATGTCAGTGGGAGTCACATGTTTCCCGTCTTTCAACACAGCAGATCTTTTTAATATATCTGACACATCTTGTCCCAATGAAGTGTATGGTCCCAGGTGAAGGGAAATTTGATCAATGGTGCAAAAGAAAATTATGTTAATTAGAAATTATGTTAAATAGAAAGCATTATCTTTTTATTCTCTGTTGAATGATAAGTAATCAAAGAGTATACAGTTTAAAAAAACATTAAGCCATAAAGCCATGTCAGGCTGATAATTAATTAAAGATTAGGCTATTTCCCTGGATTTTGTGCTATTGAAGGTATTTTTCAGCATTTTAAAATTTGCAGTTTGCTGGGCTTTTTCTCACTCTATATAAAAATTCATTTCTGTAATGAGTTTGTAGTCATACTTCTGCTCTCTGTCCCCTCTGACCACTGTTTCTTTGGGAGACATATAACTCACGCCACATGAGTCTAGATGGACTCAGAACTGCCCCTGACTATTTCCTGGGGGACTTGGGTGAGTTTTGTTTTTTGTTCTGGCTTCCATGGTGAAGATTTAGACTGAGAAATACAGTAATGGAGCCTGACTCTACCCCTCCCACTGGAGGAGACTTCTACAGGCCACCAGTGACTCAGACGACTGAGACCCAAGTCCCCTGAAAGTGCTGACATTGCACACTCATATTCTTTTCGTCTCTGGAGGCCACAGGGTGGACCTGGGGTTAGCGTGACCTTCCCAGTCTCTCAGAACTTAAAGGTGGGGCAGCCCCTGCGGCAGCAGGCTGCTCTAGTGGTGGCTGGCAATGCCCAGAGCTGGCTCTCCCTGGCAAAGTAGTGGAGGCTGCGAGGGTCCCTGAAGGTAGCTCTGACTATGGCCCCTATGAGCTACCTCTTCTTTACAGCTTACCAGCTGTTCTCTGATGTACTTTCCTTCCTCTGTTCCAGGAAGACCTGGGGTACAATGACCCAGTCAGCCACTACATGGAGACTTGCAAGAAGGCTCGTCTTACATTCAGGACATGCAGCTTTAGGAGAATAGCACTTCCTGAGCCAACTTCTCAGAAGGGAGAGAGTGGCCCATCATCATGGCTTGGAGGTGGTGCCAGAGCTGATGGGGGGCTTGTCCCAAGCCCAAGTAAGTGTGAGCCCAGTGAGACCCTTGAACATAGCTGCTGGAGAGATCCTACTATAAATAAGCAGTAAACTTCCAGGGATTAAACTAGAAGTGACCCTTAAGGGCATCTACAAATCTTAGCATCCAGGCTGCATTCAGACAAGCCACATTAGGGCAGGACACCTGGTTGGAGCTGGAATCAGGACACAGGATTTTCAAAGCTCCCAGGTTATTCTAGTATCCAGCCAAGGTTGAGAACCAATAAGCTATTGGAAGTCAGGCATTTGAAAGGAAACGTGACCTTATTTTACAGCCATAGTCCAGCGATAGCAGGACGTGCACTCCCTGGATGTTTCTGTGACTTTATTAAATTCATCTGTGAAAACAGTGGGGCATGTCAGCCTCCATTTCACTGCACTGACCCTATCTTTAAGCTTCTCAAAAACTGCCTTCATTAGTTTTCCCTCTCTCTTCTTTTCCCCATCTCAGTCCTGAAAGTAGTCCAAGTGGAAGGGGAAATAATTTGGGTCACCCAACCTCCATACCAACCTCTGAAATGAATAACCAGCTGCTGATCTTTTCTCAATCTCATTCACTGCTTTTAACACCAGTGACATTCATGGACTCCCAACTTCCCTGCAGAACCAGCCTCAGGCCCTTGTACCCCACACACTCCTGCTCTGGCTCTGGCCCAGGAACACTCTTCAGTGGCTAAGCTCCCACTGCCCATCCAGTAGGTCTCTTGGCCCCAACTCCAGGGCCCTACCAGCACTTAGGCAGAGCACCCTAATTGGCCTCCCCAATTCTTGAGCACTGAGCACCCTGGATTCTAGGTCTCAAAATTTGGCAAGCTGGCCTTCTCTGGATCATACCACGTAGAAAAAGGTTTTCTTACCAGCAGCTCTTCGATCATCTCTCAGACCTCTGTTTCCAGCACAGTGTTCATGTCAGGGTGTGGCATCCAGCCAGCTCAAGGAGTCCCATGTGTCATCACAATGCAGAACCGTGGCAAGAAGGTCTGGGAATGGGAGCCAGGAGCCAGGCTCACCCTGCAGTAGTTTCCTACGAACAACAGATCACAGACTTAGTCACTTAAAACAACATAATTATCATCTTTCAGTTCTGGAGGTCAAAATGTTCTTTAATTCCTTATTATTATTATTATTACTTTTACATCATTCTTCATTTTTAGCATTTTTTCATCTCAGTTGTAATCCCCATTGACTTCCCATCACCAATTCACCCGTGTGCCATCACCACAGTCCAGAGTACTCTTCCCACCCCCATTCCAATCCCATTCCCCTACCCACCTCATAAAATGTCTCTGGTTTATAGTTGTTCATTGTTTTCATTTTTACTTTATTACATTTGTTTTTCTCTCTCTCTCTTTTTTTCTCTGATTCCTTACACTGAGTGAAACCATCCAGTATTTTTTCTTTTTCTTACTAGCTTACTTCACAAAGCATGATCCCACCCAGCTCCATCCATGTTGCTGCAAAAGGCATGGGTTTATCTTTTTTGATAGCTGAGTAATATTCCACTGTGTGTATGTACATCTTTTTTATCCAATCATCTGTTTGGGGGCATTTGGGTTGATTCCACATCTTCCTTATTGTAAATAGAGCAGCAATAAACATGGGGTGCAGGTGTCCTTTTGAATCAATGGTTTTGTGTGTCCTTTGGGTAAATACCTAGGAGTGGGATTGTTGGGTCATATGGAAGCTCTATTTTTAGCATTTTGAGGAATCTGGAGGTCAAAATTTTAAAGAGACTAAAACCAAGGTCTTAACAGAACTGCATTCCATCTGGAGGTTATAGAGGTGCATTTGCTTCCTTGCTTTTTTTAGTTTCTGGAAAGCACCTACGTTCCTTGGCTCATCACTACATCATTCTGACGTCTGCTTCTGTTGTCTGTGACTATACTTGGATGTTCCAGGATAATCTCCCATCAGAAAATCCTTAACCACATCAGAAAAGTTCCCTTTGCCCTTGGAAGAAAGCATATTCACAGGTTCCGGGGGTCAGGATATAGACATCTTTGAGAGCTATTATTCATCCAACTGCAACCCCCAATTTTCTCTGTGATCCTTACCAGGCCACCTACCTCTCTGAGCCTACCTCCTCTTGTTAGAATGATGGGCTGAACTAATTCATGTGTTTTAGCTCCAAAATTCAATAATCTTAGACTCAGTAGCATACTGAGGTGTGATGGGAGCTCTCAGTGGGAATGACCCTGTAGAAGCCACACAGTATGGAGTGAAGACCAGGCCCCTCAATGTGTCTCTCTGCCCAATTTAGCTTAGCATATTAAAATTTGTTCTGAAGAAACTTGGAGCAACATCTGAAATATTTTAGGAAATTAAGTTTTCTGCTTTTTTATCTTGAGAAAGCTGTCTCATGAAGCAAAGATAACTCTTCATGGATTTAGTTTTGCAAATTCAGAGCTCAAAACTGTTTATTTTCCCTATAATGTTTCACTGAACTAACATATGCATTGTTATCTCCTATAACCACTGCCTTCAGTCGTTTTGCATAGAGTGAATCCATTGCCCCATCAGTGATGCTCTGGTAGAGCTCAGACCTTATCTTTAGCTCAGTCTACATCACCTTCCATCAAGCTCCTTGCTCACCCTGTCTGGTGCCAGGAGTGAGGAGGGCCTGCATGGAGCTCATGCTATCCTCCATCCATCCAACAGGTCTCCACTCTTCAGCTTGAGGGTGGAAGAATGTGCAGAAGAATCAGCCAGAGGAACTAAAAAAGCAACATCTTTTATCGAGTGCCTCAAGGCCAATACTGCTAAGTAGCTAATGCCCTTTAAAGGGGTTCTTCAAGTACTGGCCACCTCAAGGGGTAAGACAGGATTCCTTAGAGACCCACAGGACTCCCCCCACACCCATCCTCACCTGGACACAAGAGAGACATGCCCCACTCTGCCTCTTACTACACCTCAGACTTTGACCTCCAGCATTCCTTCATACCCATATGCTGAGTTCAGTGATTAACTCAGTGACCACTTGACCCAGGGGAACTTCCAGAATTTGGTCACAATGTATAGCAGGATGAAATGTGTCTCCACTGCTGGCACTCTCTTCACCACACCAGCTCTTATAGGTTCTAACCCACCACCCAGCAAAAGCTCAACTGTATGCAGACATTCAATCACAGAAGGACATGCTGACCACCTCTTTTTCTAATCATTCACTTACTCAACAAACATAACAATAACCAACCATGAAACAGGCACAGCTCACAGCACTGAAAATGTAGCAAGGCCATAAACCCCAATCCTCGTACAAGTAAGTAAATGATATGTTATAAAGGGAGAGAAAGAGTTGAGTAAAGTAATAGTGGGAAATTGCCCATGGCAAGCAGGCCTTTAAGTAGGTTGGTAAGTGAAAGCCTCCAGAAGAAGTGAGGACCTGAAGAAGTAGGCCCTGTGGCTATCTTGGGAAAGAAAGTGACATGTGGAGGGAGCTGATGTGAAGGGCCTAAGATAGGTGCCTGTGTAGGATGTTCAGTGAATAGGGAGGACAACAGGGTGGCTAGAACAAGGTGAGTAAGGGGGAGCAGTGGGAGGTGGGCTTGGAGAGGTGAGTGTGTAAGGCAAGTGACAAAGGACCATGAAGGTGACTAGAAGGTTTTTCAACTCTACTCTGAACTCAGCCAAAAGACTATAGAAGGAAGTGGGCAGAGAAGTGATAACAATGTCTTTAATAGGTTGCTTCTAGCTGCCCCTGAATAGGCCACAGGGAAGCAAAGGCAGAGTAGGGGGACTAGCTAGTGAAAGTGTGAAAACAGAACACAAACAGGGCAGCGTTCTTCTCAAGACTGCCTGCCTTTGACTACACAGGAGTTTCTTTTCACAAACCTTTTCCCTTTGAAAAGCAGCAGGTCTTTGCCCACCTATGTTTATGTGTGTGCCCCTTTCTTTTCCTTTCTCCTTTTCCTAATCAACCTGTCCTTCTTAAAATGTAAAAATAATATGTAAAAAAATAAAATAAAAATTGGAAAAAGGACTGACACAGGGGAAAGGCCTCAGCCTTATCCATGACGTGATCTTTAAAATACTCAGTTGTTAGAAAGACTCTGTACAGCTAAAGAGGTAATAACCAAGACAAATAGGGAGAAAATATTTGCATTCCACACAACTGATAAGGGATTTATATCAAAGATCTACAAAAAGCTTATACAACTCAACAAAAACAAAGTAGAGAATTCAATCAAAAAGTGGGCAGAAGAGCTAAAAAGACATTTCTCCAAAGGCAAATGCAGATGGCTAAGAGGCACATGACAAAATGCTCAACATCACTTATCTTCTGAGAAATGCAAATTGAAACCACAATGAGATAGCACCTCACACCACTAAGAATGGCCCACAGTAAAAAAACAACAACAAATGCTGACAAGGATGTAGAGAAAAAAGAACTCTCTTCCACAGTTTATGGGAATACAAACCTGGTTCAACCACTATGGAAAACTGGTCAGGATCCTGAAGTTACTAAAAATGGATCTTCTATATGATTCAGTGATTTCTCTCCCAGGAATCTACCCAAAGGACACAAAAACATCAATTCAAAGGAAACCTGCATTCCTGTGTTCACTGCAGCCTATTTACAATAACCAAGATATGGAAACAACCTAAACACCCAAAAACAGATGAGTGGGTCAAGAAGATGTGGTATAGATACACAATGGACTACTACTCAGCAAACAAAAAAGATAAACACATGTCATTTGCAGTAGTATGGATGGAGCTGGATGGGATTATATGCTCAATGAAATAAGTAAGAAGGAAAAAGAAAAATATCAGATGTGGCAGCTCTTCCTGCCCGCTTGTGCCTGTGCAAGTGTTCTCTCCTCTCCCGTCTCTTTCTAATAAACTTACTCTTTAAATATATATATATATAAAAAGAAAAAATATCAGATGCTGTCACTTACCAGGAGGAATATAGAGAAACAGAACATAGGGTCAAAAAAAAAAGAGACAAAATTTGCAGGCAACTATAGATCTGAGGCTTAAAGCAGAGTTGGGGGAGAGGGGAGGGAAGGGGATGAAAACAAGAAGGGGAAGGGTATGAGGGACTATGGTGGTTCACAGGTGATGTGGGGGTGGAAGATTTATGAGGGCTATATCTGAGAGAAGAAATCAAATACGATATGAACAGCAATGTAAAAAAAAATTTAAAAATAAAATAACCCAGTTGTGTCCCTTAGGTTATTAGCATCTTAACTCCCTTAAAAGGCCTTAAGCAAACCTTCAGCATTCCCCTGCTGAGTTTCTTTACTGATAGATGAATCATGGAACTACAACCCAGATCACCCAAACCGCAAATAGCACCAGTGGGTAACAACTGGAACCTCCCTAAACTCAGCTATTTCCTCAAAATAGTATTATAAAAAATCTACCTGAGCCCCCAAGAGGGGAGATTTTTTTTCTAGGGGGTGACCCAACCATCTCCTATGAGTACCAGTTTATGAATAAACCTAATTTCCTAACCCATTCTTGTGTTTGGCTTACAAGCAGTGGCAGCTGAGCACAGGTCCTCCACAGTACTTGGAAGCTACTGAAGTGACCAAGGTGAGGAATTACTGTGGCTTGGACCAGGGCGGGTGCAGTGTAGATGGTAAGAAAGGACTGGATTCTTGACACATTTTAAAAGAGAGTCAACAGGATTACCTGATCTGTTTGATAAGAAGTATAAGAAATTAAGATGTTTTATCTGAGCCAACAGAAAGATGGGAGTAGAAAGGATAGTTGGGGAGAGAGGATGCTAAGTTTGTACCTGTTCAGTTTCAGATGTCTATTTAGATACTTGGGTGGAGATACCAGGAAGACAGTGGCCACACACTCTGGGATTTCAGGGACGAAGCCTAGGCTAGGCTAGACACACTACTGCGGACCATTAGCATATAAGTGATAGTTAAAGCCACAAGACTTGGAACAAAAAAGAAAGTCCAGAAATAGACACATAAATATAGTCAACTTTCCTTTGACGCAGGAGTAAAGACAATTAAGTGGAAAAGGACAATTTTTCCCAACAGAGCTAGAACAACTTTCTCATGAAGTGTGCTTTATCACAGCAGCTCATTTTTTTTTAGTTTTAATTAATTAATTTTTCTTACATCATTGTAGTTCCTCCACACCGTATCACCCATGATCTGTCACTATATTGCCTTGTGTTCATTCCTCCCTTGCTGTATGCCTCAAATATATAGGCAGCTTCTTGATTTTGATTTTTTTTTTGAGCTTTTGTTTGGCTTTTCTGCATTCCATATATAAGTGAGACCATCCAATATTTGCCTTTTTTGTTTCTGCTTTATTTCAGCTAGCATAATCCCTTCCACCTCCATCCATGTTGCTACAATGGCATGAGTTTGTCTGTTTTGATTACTGAATAATATTCCATTGTATATATATACCATAACTTTTTGATCCATTTGGCTACTTTAGGGCATTTGGGATGTTTCCATATCTTGGTTATTGTAAATAGAGCTGCAATAAACATAGGAGTGCAGGTATCCTTTCAAATCTGTGTTTTTGTGTCCTTTGGGTAGATTCTCAAGAGTGGAATCACTGGGTCACAAGTTATATCCATTTTTAGTATTCTGAGGAAACTCCACACAGCTTTCCATAGTAGCAGCTTGTATTCTAAGGAGCATCCAAAGCATCAACAGGATTTTCAAAGGGAATTTGAATTTCAAAAGGAAAGAAAACAGTAGATCAAAAAATAATCTAGGTTTTTACTTTCTTGAGGGACTTTGAAAATCATCAAGCAAGATAAGTTTGGTCTGTCAACCAATGATTTCAACCAGAGTCAGCCAATAATTCTGAACTGACCTTTCACAGAAGGTGTTAAAGGCGATGAACAACAGGCAAGTGTATCTGGACATATTATATTAGCCATTACCAGACATTTTATTCTATGAGACTGAACATCAACTCACATAAAACGTTGACTTGTCTTGTATTTTGCTTCACCCCAGGGGCAGGGCAGAAGTTGTATTTGCAGAGTATACTCTGTTTCACCAGCACAAACTTCAGATGGAAAGTAGGTTCCCAGGTGCCTGATCTTGGAATAAAAATTGGGTGTGAATACAAATGGACAAAAGCATCTTTTCAGGGGTCACAAAATGTTCTAAAATTAGATCCTACCATCTACTTACAACTTTTTAAATACACTAACATTTACTGAATTGCCCACTTCAAACAGGTGACTTTTATGATATATAGATCATATCTCAATAAAACTGTTAAAAAGAGGAGAAAACTGTTCTGTGAAGAGGGACCCTGCAGGAGCAGGCTGAGAGTGGACACCGCCAGCTCGCTTCTCAGAAGCTGAGCTCACCTTCAGTGCTATTGAATCTGGACACACCAAAGTCACAGGGAAGTTAGGGCTCTTTCAAAGTGCAGCCAAGAAAGCCTCAAATAAAACAAGATCTAGCACCTAACGTGTCTGTGTGGTAATTCAATCAATAACGACCAGCAATCCACAAAGAATCTCATCAACTAATAAGGACTGCAGTGTGTTAAGTAGTGGTGACCTTCAGAGATAGATGTTCCCAAGGAAGAACAAAGATCTGTGCTCATATAACCAAATGTTCCTACTTACCCTCCACCAAGCTCTGTCTCCCTGAAGTGCTAGCTCAGTGGTTGGCTGGATTGTTTACTTTCTGGGTTTGCTTCTGACTGCCTCAGAAAGCAAATATTTCCAAAGCAAAATGATTCTCAGTTCTAATCCCTTGACCCCTAGGATCTCCAATGTGATGCTCATCTCCACTTGGGGTTAGAGGTCACTAGCCCAAACCTGCAACTCAGTGTGATACCCTCTAGAAAACTGCCCTACACCAATATGGGCTTTCTCTGAACACCAAACCACGAAAGGGTAGACAAGAGTAAGCCTTGTCTAATTCCTTCATTAATTGTCCCAACCTTTCAAATTCCAAACCGTGGCCGACTTTAATAACATGGAGACTCAGTGATGGCCTGAATACACGGGGCTTCTGAACAGTAGAGAGCAGACTGCCTAGGTTTCCTCAAGGCGATAGGTTTCTTAAACCGGCTCCTATCTTGTTTCTACCCACCAATCTGTCTTCTACTGTTCTCATGCTGCATACATCCTCACGCTTCGTTTACCAGTTCATGGCACCCAGGTAATTGCATTTCAGATTACCACCATCCATACAAGTCCTTCCTTCTGGTTGATCTGCACAGAGGCCCAAATCCTGACTCCTTCTCTTGTTCACTGAACACTCTGAGCAAGTGGCTGGACCCACTGATGCTTCAGTTTCTTCATCTGTTATGAGGTAAAAGAGTTAATAAGAAAAGTGTTAATTAGCAGAGTCCTGCACCTGGCAGCAAGTGCAATCATTGTCAGCATGCCCATGGTCAGTACTGTCCCATGCAATGCCCTGGAGAGAGCCTCAGCTTGGGACATGTGGCAGCTATCTTCACTTGCCAGCTAGCTTCAGTATCATTGTTTGCAGCCCAAGAATTGCCATTTTACCGAAACCGATCTTTTTCTCTTTTCTTAAGTGTTGTTGCTGAAGTTCCAGATTGCTGGGTTGTCAATTCTGGATAACAAACATGCTTGCTGTAGCTATTTGTACTTTTTCCATGGCAAACCAAGGTCAGAGCAGCCTGAGCCCCTGCCAGCCTGCTTCTGCAGGAAGCTCTCTGCATGCCTGCACCGGCTTGCTCCTTCTTGGTTCTCTATCCCTGGACAGAAGCAGACAGCAGAGCAGCAGAGAAAGCGGCCACACTTGCCACTGCAAAACCCTTGTCCTCCACAGAGAGTCACTTTCTCTTGCCAGCCCTAATTCTTTGTCCTTTTAAACCAGAGCTATTATTGTTTCTAATTTACATTGAATGCTCCCTTAGCAACCATTGCACATCGACTGGGACATCAACTTGCTTCTAAAACTGCCCAATTTACCAAAATGCAACTTAAATGTGATCAATGGAAGTCCAAACAGCTTTCACCACATCCACATACATAAATATCCTCCCTTACAGAATAGCTGCGTGACTGCCAAACTTGGCTAAAAAGCACAATTTGCTGAATCCCAGCTTTCTCTTGACATCAATAAAAAAACAACTTTATAAATTTATCTACCCTGGAACTATGTCTGTACCCAAAACAATACCGTAGTTTTTTTTTTAAGATTTAAAATTATGTATAATATTTAACTTACATAGTAAGTTAATTTTGAATAATTTTGAATATATAATTTAGAAGTACACTTATTAATATGCTATCGCTTCTGCAAAGGATGTAAAGGATGTAGTATGCTAATAAATTACCTCTCTGGAAGAAAAAAAGACTTACTTTGTAGTGCCTGCCTATGTCCATGGTGTAAATATTCCCACTAATGCTGACTTCAAGCTGTCAACTGTTTAACAAGGGGTTTACAAAATTCTTGAACATTTAATAAGTGCAAAGATTCTAGCGTACCACTGGAAGGCTACCTATAAACATATCTAAATCACATCAAGGCAACATAAATAAAAAGGTGAGAAAGACAAAATAAAACAAAGATAGAGGTATAAAATGGAGCCAGATATTAGTAAAAATTAAAATGTTTATAAAGCCTTAAACATGCTAAATGCTCACATTTGGCTTTAAGAAACCTTTAACATTAGAAAAGGAGGCTTGGCCCTCCCTGGTGGCACAATGGGTTAGGACATAGCACTGCAAGCTAGACATAGCCACCTCAGTATGAATTTGAGCCCCAGCCTTGGAGGCGACCCACATGGCGTGTCAGACGGCTCCTGTCTCACCCGCTGCTCCCCTCAGCAGTGTACTTCATTGATGTGCCTATTCTGCTCCCCACTCTGTCTCTGGTGAGTCCTCTCACCCCCTGTACCTCTCGCCTGTACCCCAGTTTTGTATGCATACATAAATAAATTTTTTTTAAATATAAAATAAAAGAGAGAGAGAGAGAGGCTTACCAGTTCAAAGTATCCTTAAGATAAAAAAAAGTCTCATGCTGAGAAGAGCCAGCTTCCCATTCGTCAAGTAGGTCACATTTCTCCTGAGAGTGCTCATAAAACAAAGTGAATGTCCTCATCAACTTCAGGGTGCAGACCTGACCTTGAGACTGCAATCCAGGAGGAGAAATAATTCTGCAGGGCTCTGGGTGCAGGAGGGTCCAGGAGCCAGCATTTCCACATTCCCAGTATAAGCCCAGGCAGGTGGGGCTATGGATGTATTCCATGGCCTTTGAGCATCTTCCAAGGTTTTTGCTAAAGACCAGAGTGTGTTAAGTTGGCAATTGCTCTCCCAAGCAAGTATCCCTCCCTGAAACACTTACCTGCCATAAAAACCTGACCCATGTGTCCTAACTAACAATCAGGACACAGGTAAGAATGACTTTCTCTTTGGAAAACAGAGGTGTTCACCAGTGTGTCCCTCAGGCGGTCTTAGGCTCTTGGAAGGATTTCCTGAAACAATAATTAAAATGTGTAAGGAAATGCAAACATTTAGCTTACCTGAATATCCAATATTTACTCTAGATAGCTAGGTTCTCCTGTGGGTTGACACAATATGATAGATCCAAGCAGTTAATAGATTCAACAGTTACAAGAGTTAATAGATCCAAAGAAAGGGAACCAGGAATTTACTCAACTTTCTTAGCCTACAGTCACGACCCCATTCCCTGACAATTATCTTGGAAAAACTTCAAAAACAAACTATAAAAACTGCCTTTATTAAAGTATAACATACATGCAGAGAAGTTCACAAATTGTTAAGTATACAGTTTAATGAATTTTCAAAAAAGAACAATTCAAGTAGCAGAACATTCCCTGCTCCCAGCCGTCTCCTTCAGGCTCTATTTCCCTCCAAACTAGCATCAAAGATTCATTTCAGCTACTTTTGAACTTTTTTCATTAATGGGAACATACAGTAAGTAGTATTTTACATCTCTCTTTTTTTTTCACTCATCATTATGTTTCCTAGATGAATCTAGGTGGATGCAAACAGTTCCATAGGGCTTATTCCTACTGCTGGATAGCATTCCTTCATTTGTTTATATCACCATGTATCTGTTTTATTTTTTTAATGGGAATTTGTATTTTTCCAGTTCGAGGCTATTATGAATAATACTTCTATGAGCATTTTACACATAAATTTTGGTGGACATTGCCATCATTCTCTGGAGTGTGTGGAATTACTGGATTATACATCACTTTAGTAAAAGGTACCCTAGTTCTTCAGAGTGGCCCCCAAAAGGGAACATTTTACTTATTTAAATTAGCAAACAATTTTAAAGGTGAAGGGTCCCAAGCTGGAGACGTTGTGATAGATGGTCCATTGATGCCCAAACTGGGACTCAGGGAGGGGGCACAGTCACTGCTAATGGTGAGTATCTATTGCCAGAAACACCACTAGTCCACACCATGCCTGGGCACGAATTACAAATAAGGATACCCTCTGCACACATCTGACCAGTGCCTGAGGGCCTGGCTGGACTTCACTACCTCCTCTGCCACCAATCATAAGCCTTTGCCCAGGAAAGACTGGACAACTGTAAGAAGCAATCTTTGCCATACCAGGAGCCATAAGCAGAGGTCCCTCAGGTCCTGAGCCCATGAACCAAACCTCAGCTTCTTCCAAACCAGCTCTCATCAGGCAAAACCTGCATCAGCAACCTTATTCTATGCCTCAGCAACTGAGGCCTGAAACCAGACTAGCTACTCCCAACCACATGAGAGTCAAGGGTAAGTCTTTCTGGAAACCCAAGCGTTCACAACATTCACGATCAGAATTCTCTCTTAAGGTTCCAGTCAATGGGCTGGTCCCAAGAACCAAAGCCTCAACCTAGAGTCAATCCATGTCCCACCAGATCAACTCGGAGCCACCCACAATTCTCTGTACTATGTAGTTTGAATGGGGGACCAATCCCTTAAAAGGTGAACCTTCTAGCTGGTCTGGCTTTCCAGCCCCAACCTGTCTAAGAAAAAACAGCACATGGGGTGGGCCTTCCTTTACCAGCAGGCAGCTGGCAGCCACCACCCCTGCAGAAGAGAGTCACCCAGGAGAAGAAAACGACACAGAGGACTGCGAACTAGGAGAAACTGAGAGAACAGAGCCAGAAACAGAGTGCATTCCATTATTCTCTCAGAACCCAATGGCTTATCTCACCTAAGCGCCTGGGGGTGCCACCAAATGCTTCATTTAGAGAAGAATTCATAGTTATTATCATGGGGACCCAGCAACATTTATCAGGGCAAAAAGCAGTCCTGGCTCACCTGGTTCACTTGCGCCATCACTAAAAACATACTGGATTCAACAAATGCCTTTTGGATTTCCTCACTCCTGCTTTTTTAGGTAGAAGAGAAGGCAGGTGGGAAGAGGTGTAAACAGTTGAGAATAATTACCGAAAAGATGATAACACCTCAGCACACAGTCTTTCTCCAGTTAGCGCCTCAGGCTGTGGTGGCCTGCTTTTCCTCCTGAGGACAAAGCCACCAATGTTCCTACTTTGCCCTTAGCACTAGTGAGAGACTACCTCACCCTACAGTGGAGGGGGTTTCAGGACCTCTGAGTCAGGCTGAGAACACCCTGGGCGTATTCAAGCCCACCCAGCCAATATGCCCATTCCCCCACCCAGACTGCACCTTTCAATAAACTGAAACTTATAAAATATCACCTAGATTCTCAACTATTAAACAATAGAACAGAAACTACCAACAACTTGTGTACCAAGCTTTGACAGGTGCTATACTCAGGATGGCTGAACAAACATTAGTGACTGTATGTTTCAGTGGGCGCAGTGATACTTCTAATAATTCATGCGTCATTTTCTATTCACATTTATCCTCTAAGAGGATGTGAGTCAGCTTAGAATAAAAGACCTATCTATTAAGACAATTAAAATTCCAGGGTAAAGGTAGATATATCAGAAAACATCAATGAAGTATAATTGTTATTCTAGAACATATAATTTAGCTCAGAGTATCCTGGCAGTCAAAGTAAAAGTGAAAAATAAGACAATAGGCTAATTTTTACCTAGTACATCATCTGGAAGATGGAAAACATCTTTGTTTCCCGAGAGATGCTTTTTGCTTGGAGTTGTTATAGTCAATTCGGGAAGTTTAGATCCCTGAGTACTGACATTAGCTCAACTACTTGGGCTTATCTCTACTTAGAGGGTCACGGAAAGGGTCATCATTAATCTAAGTACTACAAGTAGTAGACTATCACCAGCTTCTGCTAGTGGTGTGTGTACATCAGCACTTGTTAGAAGTACAGTATTAGAAAGGACTATGGTGATGGCACACGAGTGAACTAGTGGTGGTGGGAAGTCCACGGGGATTACAAATGAGATGAAAAAAGGCACGAAATGTAAAAATAAACTAATAATCACAATAAAAGAAAGTACAGTATTGCAGTGAATTTTTGAAGCCAGTACAATGTGATTCCAGTCACACAGGGCTTCAGCCAGCGGCAACAGGGGGACACTGCGGGCTTGAGATCTGCAGAGCCATCTGCACCCAGAGGACACACAGGGCAAGAAAGCAGAGAAGCAAGAAGATGCAAAAGCAGAGGGGGTGGAGGCCTGAGACGACTGTGCAGCTGTAATCCCAGTACAACAGGTCAGGGGAGGCGTGCCTCATCCGGGTGTGCCGGTGCAGAGATCCGTAATTCCCTAGGGAAATATGGAAGCCCAGTGAAGCTGCGCTCACCTTGAAAGAGAAAAGGGAGAGCTGGATGCAATTGAGAGTAGAATACTGAGTAACCAAAGCTAGTCTTTGTTGAATATACCTCTCTATGAGGTAAAACTCTATTACTTGCACCGGGAGGACAATGTATCCCAGGAGGAAAGTTTGGTCATTTGATGGAGATTTCAGCTACTCAGCGATGGAACTAGTCTACTCTCAGGTGAGCTGGCGACACAGTCAGTTGCTCACCTCTGGTGACCATGGCCATCCCACGTACCCCCTCTGATTGGAGCAGGAGTTGTTGAGAAGAGTCCATATAGCTGTGACAGCGCCTCTGGCTTGTTCTTGCTGTTCCACATCCCACTATCCCATGCTACCTGTAGCCCCGAAGTACAAGAAAGTGAAGAGCCCAGGTAGCCTTCAAGCAATGGGCAACAGTAGCCAATGAGCACCGCTTCAGCCTCTGACCTTTGTTCTTCAGCTCTGAGAGGCAATGCATATGCTTCCCACATGTCCTGACCAAATGGAGCGATAACTTCACTCACATACACCTATTTGTGTATGTGTGTGTGTGTGTTTAATGGGAATCCTTGGCCTTAGAATATGCTCTCTCTTCTCTCCTAGAATTACTTTGCAAAGAAACAACCTACAGTAAAGTCCTTGCCTGAGGATCTGCTCAAAAGCAAACTCACCAAGGGAAGGCATCCGTGGCTACAACAGCAGAGATCAGAAAAGACAGCGGATCAAATGTGGAGCCGACATTTATGTTAAAGTCATTGGCCTCTACCCTGCTCTGCGGAGAGAGGCAGCAGAGGAGGAAAAGATTTTCAGGGAAAGATGGGCATAGTGCTCAGCCAACGGCAAAAGAAGTCAGTGAGCAAATGCATGTAGCTTAGCTGTATATTTTGTGAAGGTTGATTTGTCCATTTCAAAATGAGTCATGACAGGAGTCATTAGACCGTGGAGCTGTTGGACAGCGTGCAGAGTTCTCGGATAAATGCGTTTCAAAGCCTTCTTTTTCTTGGGCACTTGTAGAAGGCTGATGAAATGGGTCTTCGTAGTACTGCTTGCTGGTTTCCTCAAAAAGGATCACATGCCCCGAGTATTAAGCAGAAGAAAGAGGGAACATGTGGACTCATTTTGCATATTCTAAGGCCCAGGGTATCCATTAAGCAAACAAACAAGAACAAAAAAGCAAACAAACAATAAAATAGGGCTTTTGGTGCCTGGAAGAAGTCTCTAATCTTCTTCGAGTACTCATAGGTGTCACATGTGTCAGAGCTCTGGCATGTGTGTGTCAGTGTGCGGAGAAGAAGTCTCCTCACTATTGCTTTGGGTTACATTCAAGCCACTGTTCCTGTTACCAAGAAGAACTGTCACTGAAAGTTTCCATATTCCTGGTGCCATTTAATGACGGGAGGCACTGAATGGCCAGGGGAAGCTAGCGAAGCCTGGGGAGACACAGGGAGTAGAGTGACAATGTGGAGAAGTCCTGCTTGCCCCTCAGTTTGGGCCTATACCAGGATGGGGGATTTGGAAGAGAGACCTGTAGAGACACTTAGGTGGGAGACGCCAGAAAACGTGCCAATAATAGACTTATCTTGATTTGCACTTTAACATTGCTCCTTTTGTCCCAGACTTGCCTGGCCTCTATCACTCCTTTTCTATGGGTCCCTGCTAAAAGGTGCCTTAGACTTGTGCCACGTTTTCAGGCCTCAGTGGCCCTGCTTTGGGCCAACCCTGTTTGGCTGGGCATTTACCCATGAGGCAACAGGGGAGTTGAGGTGTTTTATTATCCCTTCTTCTCTTCTATCTCTATGCATACTTATCCCATTAAAGTTCTTTCACACCAAGTGTCTGCTTGATGCCAGAAGCCCTTTAGAGTGTGCACGTTTGGGGATCTCAGAGTACCCCTCAGTCTGCATTGGTCACTACTATGTAAGGAAATAAACATCTGAATAAGTTTTGGGCAAAGATTGAATCACAGGCAGAGTCAGGAGATGAAGACCTGCTGTGAAGAATTTGCACTGAGCTCTGTGGTCACCTCTCTGCCTCTATGGCATGAATTGTTGCCTGAAGTCAGAAATCTCCCACCCCCAGTGGCAACCCACAGACAGAAAAGGCATTTCCTCAGAAGAAAATCTTTTATCTCTTAAATCCATGCCTTTCTCTCTCAAAAATTGCCTATCAGAGTACCAAATTTGCATATTTCCCTATCTGGAAATTAATAAATGCCCTCCAGAGCCATGGTTCTTTCTGAGTGTCCTTGTTTCCCAGCCTTTCCTGGGAAAACCTGCCAATCTCAACGCTTCATATCAATCAAACCCTAAAAGGGCCTAAAGATGCAGCTGGCTAGGGACCCCCTTCATTGTCTCATCTTCCAGGTTAATCCTCATTTTTTACTTCCAAGTATAAATCTCCATTTTCCTCTCTTTTAATGGTGGTTACTACTAATCAGTCAAGACTACAAAACCAGGGGGTTACTTGAGGACACCCAAGAGTTTCCACCTCTATAGCATGTGGAGGCCCCCAAATGAGTTAAAAGTGTAAGGTTAATTTTACTTTTCTGTCCATCGCTGTTACCTCAGTGATTCAACTTATGGTCCAACATAGTATCCACAAAATAAAATACTACTAAAGAATTTCATGAGAAAGTTCTCCAGGGAGGAAAGGCTAGTTTTTCAAAAATAAATAAATAAATAAATAAAAATAAATAAAAACAAAAAACAGGAGGAAAAGTTGCTTTCACTGAGCACTGAGTCTGGTGTTTGTTAAGCTGCTCCTAGAAAGACATATAAATCTGGAAGAGAATCCTGAGGAAGGGATGCGGGACAGTCAGTGGCCAAGTTATTGCTGGGCAAAAGTGCCCATGAGGCAGAAGAGCTAAAAAGACACTTCTCGGCCCTACCTGGTGGCGCAGCGGGTTAAAGCACAGCACTGAGAATCTGAGGCCACTTCCGCATGAGTTCGATTCCCGCCTGCCGCCTGCCCCGGAGGAGACCACATG